ATATATCGTTTAAATAACAATAATTATCTTTAAAACTTCATTAAATGCCGTTTTATTGTTAAAAAAAACATTTTTACAACATTAAAATTTTGGCCGCTAGGCCGGCTGGGCCGCCAACTTCACAAAAAATGGCAAAATTAAAAAAAATCTCTGAAAGTGATTTTTTCTTTACATATATCATTTAAATAACAATAATTATGCTTTAAAACTTAAATGCCGTTTTATTGTTAAAAAAACATTTTTACAACATTAAAATTTTGGCCGCTAGGCCGCCAACTTCACGCCGCTAGGCCGCCAGGCCGCTGGGCCGCCAACTTCACGCCGCTGGGCCGCCAGGCCGCTAGGCCGCCAACTTCACGCCGCCAGGCCGCTAGGCCGCCAACTTCACGCCGCCAGGCCGCTAGGCCGCTAGGCCGCCAACTTCACACGTAACTGCTATATTACCATTTTGCAGCTTCTGATATGTCGTGGGAACAAGATAATTATTTCGTGGGAACAAGATATTATCTCGTGGGAACAAGATAATTATTTCGTGGGAACAAGATAATATCTCGTGGGAACAAGATAATATCTTGTGGGAACAAGATAATATCTCGTGTGAACAAGATAAATAAAGACACCCATGTGTCACATCTGTGCCACCGTAATAGACACTTGACGTAATAGTATGTTTTCTTGCTGTGCTGGTTGGATACAAACAAGTACATTTAAAAATTACTTATATGTCAAATATTAACTTAACAATATATATATAAATAACACATGGCTGTCATTTTGCATTATGCTAACTGGTTACTAAAGCATTATCGTTTTTATCAATACAGAGTTATGTAAGAGTTATGTAGGCCTACCCCAGGTTGATATAAGAATATTCCCCGGGGAAATATATTCTAGGGAGGGTGATATTCGATCAGAACACATTGTAGGCCCTATGTTTTATTCTGCAAATCAATTCAAAAGTACATGTACAAATGATGTTGTACCAAAACTGCATATTTATGATACTTCAAATCAATACTCATTTTGAAATCAATTGATATACATATAATGAATTATGTAATTATTGTATATTTTATTGAAACAGATCACCTAAAACAGTGATTTTACGGGTGATTTGCTACTCAAAACCTTTCTCGGGTAAGTCCGAGGAAGACTTTCAAATATGAATACCAATTCTACACTTGAGTTCACCGGGACCAAGGCGTCCTCAATTTCGTCCTTAAAGGAAGCCTTCCCGGAGTTTGAGTGGGAAGGTTGAGTTCGAGGTGACGACACTGAGTAGAGTAGCGCAATTGTTTGTAAAACATGTATGTCCCCCCTAAACACAGCCAATTTAATATTATAACACATTAGATTTTTAAGTGTGTATAAAAATGCATAGTAAATTTGTTATGGAATACATGAATATCATTGCCATGGGGCAGAACCAATATGACCCATGGGTCCATGAATTAAGTAAACCCTGTAGTTGTCAATGAGACAATGTTACACACAAATATCTTCTAAAAACAAGCTTTTCATAGTGAGATCACTGTGACCTTTACCTTTGACCTACTGACTCCAAAATTAATAGGGGTCATCTACTAGTCATGACCAACCTCCACACCAAATATGAGGACCATCAGCCGAAGCATTGTCTAGTTATTGAGCGGAAATGGCATGATCTACGGACGGACCGACCGACCGACCGACCGACATGGGCAAAGCAATATACCCCCACTTCTTCGAAGGGGGGCATAATAACTTATTTTATTTGACTTTTTTATCGTTGGTACCGGTTGCCCATATGACCAACGTCCCCTGAAGATTGTTAGTATATTATTTTTCGGGGGATAGTGCATGATACAGAAGACGCCCCGTTCCAGAGGCGACCCTGGTTCTTTTAAGTGCCCGGTGTAAGGCACCAGTACAATTCACCTCGGTTTAACTTATTTTCCCCCCTTTTAATAGTAAGGGAGATAGACTGTATCCAACAATCAAACTTATTTTCAAAATACATTTTTAAACTTTTTTAACAATCTCACAAGCATCCCGCTAGAGTCCCGGTGGTCGGTCGGGTGATCCAGGAACGACCGGGGTACGTCCGTAACTCTGTCGGCAACGTCCGGGATGATCAAGGGCTCTGCCGGGGCTCTACCGGTGATTGTCGGCACTCTATCTGATCGTACCGGGGCTCTGCCGGGATCATCCGGGACTCTGCCGACATCATCCGTGGCTGTGCTAGCATGGATCTCAGCTTTTATGATCTCTTTGATCGAAGACTTAACAGCGTTTGAATATCGTGTTAGGTCATCCGTCGTCCACTTACTATCTGCATTATCCGTAGTTTCAACTGGTCTCTGCATGGATGGCCCGGAGTTCATCCTGGTTGTTATAAGTATGGAAATTGGGTATCGCCGTAGTGCTACCGGGGTTATTGAGCCTGCAACAATATTTTCATCCCGGATCGTCTGGGGTGGTCATGGGCTTTGCCGGGATGCTGGTGAGAACGCTACTTAAATCGGTACTTTTAATCCCTATGGAAACCTTTATAACTGGCTGATGCATTACTGTTGATCATAGAAATAAGTGCAATTTACAATTGAAAAGTTGAGACATTTATCGTTAACCGATTTGGACATTTATGAGCACCTAATTTGTTGCGACATTTTTCGTTAATTTTTGGACATTTATCGTTAAAGGAGTTTTGGACATTTATCGGCGATTGAGACATTTATCGTCAATTTTTGGACATTTATCGTCGTTTGGACATTTTTCGACGTTTGGACATATAACGGCGCTACAGTTATACCGTATATTGTAAAACATGTAGAAAACTGTGGTATAAAATATATTTACAAAATAATGACTGGACTCTTCCAAAAAACTACAAAGTAACAAAAACTTTGAAACCGTTGAACAAGATGTGAATGTAAACATTTCTACAACATAATACATAAAAACCTTCAGTACAATATTTGATTTATCCGCTAGAGGAATAAATCTTTTATTCAAATCTTACAACTTAACATTTTTATTATAACACCCCAGTAGGGCCTCAAAAAGAGTTGTCAGGGGAGACAACCTACACTGGATTATGTCATATATAAGGCAGAAAAAATTCTGGGAACGGTCTTTCATTCGTGGACACCATAGAAGAGGTAGACTAGTTTATCGTTAAAAAATCTAAATTAAAAAAATCAAATATTGAATGAATCAGTATTATTTAATCTCACAGGAAATTAGATATATTTTATATTCTGTTATTATATTATTTGGGGTTTAAACTTGAACAGATAAGAACTTTGACCAGATTTTATGACCACGTGGTGATGACCCATGTTTTTCTCGTTAAGGTCAGTAGTCTAAAAAATCAATTTGGATGCTTTGATTACACAAAATATATGTCAAAGTTAATAGGTTTCTTTGAAATATTAAGTAAATAAATAAAAAATGGGATCTAGATCTAGTTTAAACCTGTCTATTTATTTGATGTTTGAGCACGTGATCTTTACTTAGAATCTAGATTATTATGATATTATCATTATCTTATGAATGATTAAATAAATGAGCATAGCTATAAAATGGTTAAAAATACAATATTATTTATATAACTCGATTATGACGGGTCATGTTTTCCAACGGGAAAATTATCAGTCTCATTGAAATCCACGCGCATGACATCATACCTATGACGTCATTTCATCTAGGCTAAGAAAATAAAGATAAGAGTAAATAGAGTCTAAATATATAAAGTATGAAATAAATAAAATACATCATGATGAAATAAAAATTTAATAATAATAATTTATTAAAATCTACACAAATTTATTTATTTAATTTATTTATTTAGATCTATTTATTTATTTATATTATTTTATTTTTCGACAATGCCAAAACATCGCCAACAACGTGGCCATACACGAGACACGCTCCAACAGCAAGTCAATAATAGGAGGAACACTCGAACGTCTGTTTCTACAGCCATGCCTCCAGCTGACAGACCTGTAAGGGAGCCCTGTGCAGAAAACGAGATGGATGGCCAATCCGGACCTCCGGTAGATGTTGATCTTCATCACCTAGAAGCTAATAAAGGTGAAGTTTCCAAAAATTTCATGATAAATACTTGTTCTGGTACAATGCTAGGCGCACATGTAACTGTCAGTACTAAAGATAAGATATGGAACAATCAATTTGTAGAGTTACACACTTTGTTGCCAAAGAAAAATATGTTAGAAAATAGACAAAAGATTCAACTTGTTGATGGGGAACTTATAATGAGTACCCAAGAGCAAATTCCGAAACAAATAGAAAAAATAGAAATTTGGTCAGATGCATTCGTGGTGTACATGAGTATTTTCATTATGAAACATCCAGAACAAGCAAATAACCTATTACAATATTTTGCAAACATTCGTTTAGCGGCATCCAGAAATGTCGGATGGTTCGAGTACGATAGGCAATTTAGGCTTAAAAAATCAATCGATTTGGGTGTAAAGTGGCAAAATATTGACCCAGAATTGTGGATGATATATATGCAGCCTATTCAGTCCTTGAGCCAGCCGGCACTTCTGAATATTTCAAAAAAATGTTATGACTTTAATAACAAAGGCTTTTGTACAAATAGATCATGTACCTACAAACACGTTTGCATCAAATGCTTTGGTAACCACCCTTCAATACACTGTTATGCAAATAAACAAACAGCGCAATTCACACCGCGTCATGTAAGGCCTTCATTACGTTTCAGACCACCCCAGATGCAATACCCTCGACAGGTATTTGGATTGCCAGCTCAAAGAGTGCCTATGGGACCTCGGGTTTTCACCAATTAATATCTCGGGTCTCGCTGATAAACTGTTTCAATACCCAAATAAGGATGATGCCAATTACATTTTACAAGGCTTTAGTACTGGTTTTAAGCTCGAATATACCGGACCAAGAATCCCTATTTTTTCCAAAAATCTCAAATCGGCAATTGATCAAAAATGCTTATTAAATAAAAAGCTTCACGACGAATTTTTACTTGGGCGAATCCTAGGACCGTTCAAAAACCAGCCAATTACTAATCTTAGAATAAATCCCGTAGGTCTCGTACCAAAACAAAACGGTGGTTTCAGATTAATAACGCACCTTTCATACCCACCAGGCAACAGTATAAATGAATTTATCGATCCAGAATTTTGCCATGTTCAATATTCACAATTCGACAATGCAGTAAGAATAGTTCAAGAAATAGGGGGTTCTGCTTTTATGGCAAAAGCTGACATTTCTTCTGCATTTAATTTATGCCCTATATGGCCAGGCGATTTTGATTTATTAGGTATAAAAACCGAGGAGGGATATTGGATTCAAAAAATGCTGCCACAAGGCGCATCATGTTCATGTTTTATTTTTGAAAAATTTTCAAAGTTTTTACAATGGCTTGTGTCTAAAGAATCAAAATCATACTATATTGATCACCTGCTAGATGATTTTTTTATGGCAGAAAAATCTTTTGAAAAATGCTTGAATTTAATGCAAACTTTTGATAAAATTTGCAATGAACTTGGTGTCCCCCTAAGTGTCGAAAAATGGATGGGACCTGTTACAACTATAACATACCTGGGTCTTGAAATTGATTCAATCAATCAAATGGTGAGGGTGCCTTTAGAAAAAATAAGGAAAGCGAAAAACTGTCTCGTTTGTTTAAGAAACGCTAAAAAGATCAGACTCAAAGACTTACAATCAGTCGTTGGTCTACTTAATTTTATATCAAAAGCTATTCCCAGTGGCCGTGCCTTTAATAGACGTTTTTATGACGCCATGTCGTATGTAAAGAAACCGTTCCATTTTATTAGAGTCAACCAAGGCATGAAAGAAGATGCGAATATTTGGCTAACATTTCTTGAAAAATTCAATGGTTATGTTATGTTTACAGAAAAAAATTGGGCAGATAACTGCCATTTAGAATTATATACGGACGCATCTGGCAATAAGAACCTTGGTTGCGGAGCATACTTTCAGGGCAACTGGGTGGCTTTTAAATGGCCAGGCGGTTGGGACGATTCTACTTTTAAAAATGTTACTTATTTAGAATTGGTCCCTATTATACTGGCATTTTATACTTGGGGCAAAGAATTAAGAAACAAAAAGATAATGCTAAGGTCCGATAATAATGCATTAGTGGAGATCATAAATAAAAAGTCATCAAAAAATAAACTAGTTATGGTACTCATCCGCCATTTCGTACTTTTGCTTTTAACCAATAATATTCAAGTGAAAGCAAAGCATATATCGGGGTACAAAAATAAAATATGTGACACTATTAGCCGTTTTCAGTGGCAGAAAGTGGCCAAAGTTCTACCGGACTACGCTGCATCAGACCCATGTCCAATCCCAGAGGCATTTCATGCGATCTTCAAATAGAGAAAGAGCGATTAATCAATGCTGCACTTAGTCAAAGTACACATAAAGCCTACCTTGCAGGTTTAAAATCATTTGAAGAATTTTTGGCAAAATTGGGACACTCTCAAAACTGGCCGCCAGTTGTACAAGATATAACGGAATATATTGCATACATGTCTTTACGTCAATACTCATTTTCAACAGTAGCTGTTCACGTTTCAGCAATAAGTTATTTTAATAAAATAAACAATTTGGTTGACAATACAAAACAATTCATAGTCAAAAGTATGCTAGAAGGGTTCCGTAGATTATCGAAAAGACATGACACAAGACACCCGATAACACAAAATGTACTGATACAGCTTTTATCAGCCCTACCTAACGCTTGCAGATCACAATATGAGTGTTTAATGTTTTCTGCTGCTTTCTGTCTTGCCTACATAGGTCTGTTAAGAATAAGCGAATTTGCATTGCCTTCAAAGAAATCAAAAAAGGTAGTTTTAAATGTAGATGACGTAACGATCAATCAAAATCTCATCAGACTGTATTTTAGATGTTCAAAAACAGACCAGAGATATGTAGGATGTTCTATTGATATTCCGATAACTGACCAAAACAAACTCTGTTATGAAAAACTGAAAGAGTTTTTACATTTTAGAAGTAAAGTGCAAGGGCCGTTATTCTGCCATTTCGATGGAAGTCCCTTAACATCCTTTCAATTCAATTCAGTATTAAAAAGGACTTTGAACTTGATAGGTCAAGAAAAAAATGAATTTAAAGCACACTCTTTTCGAATCGGCGGGGCTTCTAATATGTTCCGTGAGGGTTGTGCTATCAATGATATAAAATACAGAGGCCGTTGGCGATCTAACGCTTACAAATCCTACATCCGATAAGTTTATGGTATTTCAAAAAACTTATTTTTTTAGGATCTGCCAAAATGGCTGTAATGTGAATGCCGGCGATCCGAAATTTGGCTATTAAAATAAAATATGTATTTGTATTAAGAAACCGTTACCGGGTCTTAATACACATTAATGTATCAAATAGAGCAATTAATGCTGTTGTAATAAAAAGATGTTGTATATATTGGCATTATGTGCCTGGCATTATGTGCCTGATATTGTGTTTTTTAAATGTGTTAATGAATAACAAGCAGTTGGCATTATGTGCCCGACATTATGTGTCTTTAATGATTTATAACACCCAGTTGGCATTATGTGCCTGACATTATGTGTCTTTAAAAATTTATAACACCCAGTTGGCATTATGTGCCTGACATTATGTGTCTTTAAAAAATTTATAACTGTTACCACATAGTTGACATTATGTGCCTGACATGTGTTTTTTGATAACATTACTTGATTATTATTTATATTAAATGGATAGGTACACAATACTGAATATATAATCAAACTTATTTCAGACTGTAAAATGTCGGATGTTTGGATTATAGGCTCTTCAATTATTAGGGATGCCTTTCAAACAGCATGTCGCAGAAGTGAAGGTGCTCACTTGGGACTTCAATCTCTAGGTTATAATGTTATATGGGAATATCAGGGGGGCATGAAAGTTTCTGATTTAAAACCTTCGATAGAATACTTGCTTGAGTTTAAAAATGCGCCTAAATTTTTGATAATACACTGTGGCGGGAACGATTTAGGAAATCGACCTTCAGTTGAAATCATATGGGACATCAAAAACTTTATAACAGGGACTTTGCTTGAAAAAATGCCTGATACGAAAATAATTTGGTCTCAGATATTACCAAGAAGGTCATGGAGATATATCCAATGTAACAAAACTGCAAATAAAACCCGCATGCGTATAAATAGTTGTATCAGTACATTTGTTATTAAACTCGGGGGTTATTATATTCGTTACCCTGATATTACGGAGAACCCTAGGTTGTATAGGCCGGATGGCACACATCTGTCGGACTTTGGTAACCACATTTTATTGAATACAATATCGGGTGCTCTCCACACATTCACGTCCATGGCTGGGTAGGGCAAAATTGTTGCTGTGGTAGCCCGCTTTGGCGGAAGCCCACAGTCAAATGTTTCACTTTGCTTGTGGGCTTTTTGGCATGTGCTACCACGTTTTTGCAACCGTTGCCGGGGCAAAAACAGTTATAGTAAAGACATTTAGTAGTTTTAACTCGAAACACATAGACATTTCAATAGGTTAAATAATTAAAATGCTTTTATCCAGCCATGGCCGTTTTCACGCCAACACGTTTTTATTAATAAATATTAGTACGTTTTTTTTTTTTAAACTGATTTCTCTTTTCCTTTATTCCCAAGTTGTAATGTTTGAATAATATTTGATTTATCCGCTAGAGGAATAAATCTTTTATTCAAATCTTACAACTTAACATTTTTATTATAACACCCCAGTAGGGCCTCAAAAAGAGTTGTCAGGGGAGACAACCTACACTGGATTATGTCATATATAAGGCAGAAAAAATTCTGGGAACGGTCTTTCATTCGTGGACACCATAGAAGAGGTAGACTAGTTTATCGTTAAAAAATCTAAATTAAAAAAATCAAATATTGAATCCCACCACAAACCCACCCGTTCAATTTCTTTGTTTTTGCTCTCTTCCCTTTTTTTTATATTTTCAGATAACACTATTAACACGTCATGGCTGGAACAGAAAGATACAGAAACAGGAGGATGCTTATAAGTCTCAGCGACCGTTATCGGAGCTGATCAATTTGTAAAACAGACATGTTAAAGTGATTTCATCATCTGTACCTGTGTACCTTGAGTTGAAGCATGTGCTACCACGTTTTTGCAACCGTTGCCGGGGCAAAAACAGTTATAGTAAAGACATTTAGTAGTTTTAACTCGAAACACATAGACATTTCAATAGGTTAAATAATTAAAATGCTTTTATCCAGCCATGGCCGTTTTCACGCCAACACGTTTTTATTAATAAATATTAGTACGTTTTTTTTTTTTAAACTGATTTCTCTTTTCCTTTATTCCCAAGTTGTAATGTTTGAATAAATGTATTTATAACATTTACATTAATTTATTAACATTCATGCAGTAGCGTGAACTCAATCTGAAATTATCAGTGAATGATTAATTATGAAACCTGCAGCCTTGTACTGACCTTAATGAAGTCAAATTGTACATATATCTTCCACAAGGTTTACTGCCATCCATGCTGATGGAAACGAACTATCTACTTTCATAAGTTATTTTACTATCAAGTTAAATTTCAGATACTTAGATTCTGTTTAACCATGCCTTACCCTACACATTATTAATATCGCCGTTCCTATACAATTAACAAGAGTTGAACAGTTCTTACCTGTACACTGCCTGCCTGCAAATAATTCAATATCACATGATAACAAAATGGACGTCAAATAACTTCCACAAGGGATGCTTAAATGGACTCTCCCAAGCGCAATATTTGTCGGGTTACTCATTCGTACAACTGAAAAATACCATCATCAATGTACGAACTCCATCAGTCTTTAGGCTCTTGCAGGATAAACACAGCAAATTGCAATAGTGTTTGCTACATGTCATCTCTGATAAGAGAATGTAGTCTAAATAAGTATATATTATGTTTTCTTTCCAAAACGTACACTTAAACAAACAAAAGAAAACTTCATAAATGCCAATCGGAACATCCTCGGCTATTATCTATAATAACCTCGGAGACAATACGGATTGAAAGTAGTTCTACCACGTGGTTTCAGATGTAAACATAATGTAAAACGAATGTACATATAATTGACATCCAATAGGAAATTAAGTCTGTTTCGGTACAATTATGATTGAAAATATGTCTGACAACCATTTCTAATTTAAATATGCCCACTGATGTACAATTTTAAACAAATGCGCTTAATGTGAACAGTTTGACTTCCGGTTTCTACAACCATAATAATAAGTATACAAATAATGTATTGTTTGCTTTTGTATCTATGAATTCATTTATATAAGGTTGGCATTTACTTGATATAGTGGAAATAAAATTGTCAACAACTCCCAGGAATTAATAACTATGAGTTTACATGTCTAGTTTCTTAGCGTAGGTGACCGAAAAACCGTATCCGTTCTGTGTATACTATTGTGTTTGATGTCGTTATCCGAAGACTTACGAAAAGGGCCGATATAAATGCTTTCTATATTATTATTGCATCATACCTTTAATATAGCATGTCAGTTATAGTCCGTTTCAGACAAAGCAGTCGACGGAGAATACAACGTAAATCCCATTTGAGAGAAGGGCAGAGTAAATCATAGGTGTTCGGCGCGTTGATTGGCCCCTACCCCCCGCACCCACCCCCTCACCCCCACACACACTTTACAGCCGTCCTACCTCTCAAAACCATGTAAAATACAGTATTTTTCATTTGAAACATGTTTTAGTATTTGGTTTATGCTTTTAATTCAATTACCTTCATTTCCCACAAAAAATAAACAAGAGGGCCATGATGACCCTGGGGTCGCTCACCTGAACATAGGCCCCCAGGGCCGGGCCAGTTTAAACCAAAGGGCTTTTATTTGAACAAACTTGGAAGACACCCATTAGAAGATATTTCATAATGTTAAGTTTTTACTATACACAAATAATGAAAAACAATGACTTTTGGGCCAATTTTAACCCAAGGGCTTTTATTTGAACAAACTTGGTAGACACCCATTAGAACATGTTTCATGCTAAATATCTTAGCTCTAGCTCTTTGGGTTCTTTAAAAGAAGATTTTTAAGTATTTAATTACTATATGCAATATAGGGAAAATCAATGACCCCCTAGGGCGGGGCCAATTTTGACCCAAGGGCTTTTATTTGAACAAACTTGGTAAACATCCATTAGAACATGTTTCATGCTAAATATCTTAGCTCTAGCTCTTTGGGTTCTTTAATAGAAGATTTTTAACTTTTTACTCTATGTATATAGGGAAAATCAATGATCCCTGGGGCGGGGCCAATTTTGACCCCAGGGCTTTTATTTGAACAAATTTGGTAGACACCCATTAGAACATGTTTCATGCTAAAAATCTTAGCTCTAGCTCTTTGGGTTCTTTAAAAGATTTTTTTTAAGTTTTTACTATATGCATATAGGGAAAATCAATGACCCCCTGGGGCGGGGCCAATTTTGACCCCAGGGCTTTTATTTGAACAAACTTGGTAGACACTGATCAGAAGATGTTTCATGCTTAATATCTTAGCTCTAGCTCTTTGAGTTCTTTAAGAGAAGATTTTTTTAAGTTTTTACTATATGCATATAGGAAAAATCAATGACCCCCTGGGGCTGGGCCAATTTTGACCCCAGGGCTTTTATTTGAACAAACTTGGTAGACATCCATTAGTAGTATAGGGGCCTTTTTAGCCCTAAGACTGCGCATGCGCGGCGGCCATTTTGTTTTCTATTAATAGCTACTCATTTGCATAAAAGAAATGACCTCACTACACAGGCGCGGCGGCCATGTTGAATAACAGACGCGCGGCGGCCATTTTGAATTCTATTTTAAGACTGACATCATCACGTTATAAATAGAAACGCGAATAAAAAATATCTCCCGGAAGTATACGGAGCTGACTCGTATACACGATTTAGGGCTTGAATCGCGGACATTGAGGGTCAGGTCCTCGGCCCTAGACGGAGAGATAATTACCATTATGACAGATAAAAGAAATGTTTGTAAATAGATACGTACTTAACATTTTAATTTATAAAAAATAGTTTTTTAATAGGTTCAAAAAG